TTTCTGTTTTACTAGTATGACTAATCCATCTCCTAAATTGAAATATATATATATATATCTCCCTCTCCCTCTCTATTTCTTTCCCTTTCTCTCTCTCTCTCTCTCTCTCTCTCTCTCTCTCTCTCTCTCTCTCTCTCTCGTACTACAAAATTGGAAGAGGAAATTTAACATCAGGTGCAAGATGGCTGAAATAATATTGCTTATGTAGTGTTCCTCCTGCTGAATAAGCCTTCTTTTTTAATCAGCAAATTCAGGACACATTCACTGAGCATTTGGAAGCTTAAAGGCCATAGCATGCAATGGAAGAGATTCTGTGATTGTTAAAAGAACTGAAAGACTTCCCTCAAGCAATAAACGTTGTCTACTTTCCACAGTATAAATGTCACAATGTTTGCCAATCTAATTAGAGCAGTAGGTCAGCTACTGCTTTGTGGTAGAAACCTGGGCCATTAGCTACATCAAAGGATACATTTTGCCAAATCATTTCTTAATGTTCTGATGCTGAAACGCAGCAGGATTATTTCCTCATGTAGTTTCATTAGTAAATGTTAAAATACATGCAAACATTTGTAAACTTTTCACACAGGATTACTCTACCTTTTCTGGTTTCGATAGATAGATAGATAGATAGATAGATAGATAGATAGATAGATAGATAGAAAGAAAGAAAGAAAGAAAGAAAGAAAGAAAGAAAGAAAGAAAGAAAGAAAGAGAATTCTTTATTGGCCAAGTATGATTGGACACACAAGGAATTTGTCTTGGTGCAAATGGTCGCAGTATACATAAAAGAAAAGATACATTTGTCAAGAATTAATAATTGTGTGCAGTGCTCAATAGCATCGTTTTGAGGGAAGGAGTTGAAACAGTTGATGTCCAGGATGTGAGGGGTCTGTAAATATTTTCACAGCCCTCTTTTTGACTCGTGCAGTATACAGGTCCTCGATTGAAGGCAGGTTGGTAGTAATTGTTTTTTCTGCAGTCCTAATCACTCTCTGGAGTCTGTGTCTGTCTTGCTGGGTTGCAGAACCAAACCAGACAGTTATAGCGGTGCAGATGATAGACTCAATAATTCCTTTGTAGAACTGTATCAGCAGCTCCTTGGGCAGTTTGAGCTTTCTGAGTTGGCGCAGAAAGAACATTCTTTGTTGTGTTTTTTTGATGAAGTTTTTGATGATAGGTGTCCATTTTAGGTCTTATGATATGATAGAACCTAGAAATTTGAAGGTCCCTAAAGTTGATACTCTGTTGTCTAGAATTGTAAGAGGTGGTAGTATGGGAGGGTTTCTTCTAAAGTCTACCACCGTTTCTACAGTTTTGAGTGTGTTCAGTTCCAGATTGTTCTGGTCACACCACGGTTCCGGTCACACCACGGTAATACCATACCAAAATATATACCTTACAAAAAACAAAAGTACTTTTTGCCTTAAAGCAGCTGTAAATCAAAATATATAAGGATTTTAAGGTGAAGTATAAGAATCTATAGCAATAGCTAATCTCAGCTAAAAACCAAACAAGATCAAGTATCTCATTGAAATCTATGCTGAATTCCTTACTAAATTAAAAGCATTATAATAATGTTAATGGGTTTAATGAATTGTAAATCAAGGTGAAATTAGATTAAAATTTAAACTACCTATGATGTATTGTTTGGAAATCTTATTTGATACTTAACAGAAACAGATGTTAAAAATGAATAATTCAAGGATTCTTTCATGATACATTTCCCCTGCTTTACAGAATGAAAGTGTTTCAGTACAGTAATATCTATATGTTATTTTCTAACTGGGAATAAGATAATTTCATTCACTATCAGGAAATGAGCAGAAGTCGATTAAAATTGGTGTAAGGCAAGGCATTTTTCATGCATATTATTCAGTTTCACAAGAATACACATTTTCTGCTGCAGATTTACCTGGTAAGGTCCAATGCTTGGGTATTAGGAAATGCTGAACCTTCCCACAGAAAGAACTGAAATGGGCAAGCAAGAAAGTAGAAATATTGAAGAAAAAAGACAGAAAGATATCTAGCCCCCAAAATGTGTGATTTAAGAAAGGTATCTTCTCAGTTGGATTTGAAAAAGGCCTAGTAAGCCAGTATTTTCGTTAAGCTATTAACTGTCCAAGCAAATTTTGTAATATGGCTGGGCTTGTTCTTTATAGTGGAGAAGTTGATTTTCTGCAGGCAAAAGAGCAGAAGAGCATCTTTCAGATGATAAATCAATTATATATCCTTTTTAGAAGTTCCATCAGGAGAGTGCACAGGAAAGTTATGAGGGCTTAGCTCTGAGTTGGGTTTTTGGAGATAGCTCAGCTAATCTAATAACATAAGATAACTGTGAAAGTAATTCTTAAACTATTTCTAGTCAGCTTGGTATTAAAAAAATGCCATTAGTTGTATTTTGCTGCTGTGTTCTTGTTGGATTGCAGAAATGTAATTGGGTATAAGAGAAGAGCAGGCAGAGCCTGGGGGTGGAGTCAAGAGAGAACTTAGCCTACAATCGTTATGTGTCCATGTCTACAAACACTCCCAGCTCCCCCCAAATTTAATTATCTTTTATCTTGTGCCAATTTCCTGCTGATCATTAATTGAGCAGATTCTTATATATATGCTTGATAAATCTTCTGAACTGCAACTTATGTGTGATCCTGATCCTTTGCACTTGACATTAGGTGAACTTCGGAAAATGAGCATGTTAACCAAGAAGTTTAGATCCTTTAAATGTTATTTTTAACAGTGTTTTGCAAATTGCAAGGAGCATGCCGCAGTTGATTCATTCATTGTTATGCCTTATCCTTTCAGTTTGTATTCAGTAGATCTACAGAATATGTTTTGCTGCTTTTTTGGCTTTTAATTTTCTTCTCAAAATATTAAACTGCGTAGTTACCTCTTAATTTAGCATATGCTACAAATTGTGTTCCTAGATGTATCCAGTCTCTCCTCAAAATAGGTGAATTGGGGAATAAATAGGTGTGAGAAGCCTTCCTGATCCAATGGTTTCTTGTTTATTTGCTGTGGGGGGGGGTCTCTGTGTGCATTTGTAACCAGTCTGATTCTTTTCTTCTATCACTCCTATCTTCAATCTATTTTATTCTTCAATTGAAATATTTTACATATGTTGTAAAATGTCTCAGACACTTAGAGCTCCAAATTCTTTTGCATATGTATGTAAAAATATTTATAAAATATTTTAGATATTTTGGAAGAGGATAAATGCATTTCAACATAAGTATTGTATCTGTGACATGGTATTTATCCTACATTTATTTATTTGTTAAATGTATTTGCCACCTATTTTGCCCTTGGACTACTCTAGGCAGCTTGCAACAATAAAAACGAAGAAATGAAGTGTAAACATAACTGTTCCAAAAGTAACGGAACAATAGAATAAACAATGAAAAAGACATTGATACTAGTGCAATGGACTTTGAAACTCCATTGTGTATATGAATTGGCAGAATATTTTTCTCCATATGGTCTATAAATTGTTTCATTGCTGCTCAGTATGAGGTTAGGATTCATTATCCACATCAACAATTTACTGAGAGTATATTTTCAGCCTCCCACTGAGTTAAACTGCTAGGGTAACACTGCTAATGCAATATCCAAGTTGCAATGATTGTTCATTCACAGCCGCAGAAGGGCAAAAGCCCTGGAATCTTGATCTTGCTATGTTTTTGGAACTGAGAATTATTATCATGTTAAGCCTTGGGTGAAGTTGTCCCAGATATAATTTTATTTACCATACTGTTTTTTGAGGTCGATGGTAACAGATACGGTAACAGACTTCAAAATTTTTTGTTTGATTGGTTGGTATCCTAACTTTCTGTCAGAAATATAACAATTCAAAATAAGTGTTGAACAATTTCATTTGTATTTCTTGCTAGATGGTCAGAACGTTTAAGCCAGTGGTTGGCTTACAATTGTTAGATCCATAAACATTT